CACACGCCATTGTTGGAAGAGGCATGGAAGGTTTGCAGTATCGCCAACACCAGGTTCCCCAACTCTTACCTCGTCCAACAGATCGGAACCGTCGCCTACGTTGCGTTCTCCGGCAGGCAGATAGATTCCGGTTTAGAACCGAGCTGTAGAAATCTGCTGCCGTTGGACGCCGCCGACGGTGGCCTTTTCGCTCCCCTCTATCGGCATAATCAAGCGAAGGAGCCCATCAAGGTGTATCACGGGATGTTAAAGCTTTTCCTCTCGTTCTACTCAGGATTGCGAATCCAGGTTAGCTTTTTATCTTTTACTTTGCTCTTGCAGCTTTCTTAATTTATGGTTGAAGTTGAAGATTTAGTTCATTTTGATCATAATTTCCAAATTTGAAAAGAAAAAAAGTGTTTGGCTAAGCTGCTACATTTAATAATTAATAATGCTGGATTCTATGGAAATCGCAGAGCTTGTTCACTAAAATCTGGATAAGCTTGAACTTCCCAAAGTAGACTCCGGATGATCATAGCAATGAACCCTCAATCAACTCTTGCATGATTGATTGAATGAATGAATAATTGTCATCCATCTCTTCGATTAAATGTTGGATCCTTCTGGAAAATAACAACTTAATTTAAATTCTCTTAAATAGTCTTTTGATTAAATAGAAAATTTATAATTTTTAACTCCTTTTCTTTAAATTTTATAATTTGATCTCCATAGCATCCTAACAAACCATTATAATTTGAATAATTCTAGATGTAATTTTAACTTATTATAATTGAAAAGTTATTATTGATAAAAATATTTTTTTTAAATATTTTTTTTAAATAATCGTAATTAAAATTTAAAATTTAGACTTTTAAAAGTTTAATAAGAGACGGATTGAATAGTAGGGATACAACATTATTGTCAACAAAAGATAAATAAAACCACTAATCAAAGCTTTTTCTTTATTATAATTAATTATGTGAAAAGTAAAAGAGCAAGGATTGATTCATTTGTGCAAAGACAAGAAGTGACATCAACTTGATAAACTGCACATAAGCAAACAAATGAAGTTGGATTGTAGTGGCATTAGTCACCAAATTTAGGCAAATGTTTTGGAGAATCTTCCACATGCAAACTACTTTGCGCATTTAATTGAAGTAATGGTAGTTTTGAAAACAAATTAAATATTAAATATTGCAAAAAATAAATTTTATAATTTTATCAAAATTTAAATATCTGAATCGATAATTCTTTTAATAAAAATTTGGAGAATAAGTTTAAAACTAATTATTTCTCATTTTATAGCCGTTCAACGGATTTTTAGTCGGCTTAAAGCTAAAGGTAATTATTTTTGTTCAAAAAAATAATTATATAAATACCTATTAACTTTTGGGAAAAATATCTATATAATTTGTTTTATGTTATTTTCTAAACACAATTTGTAGACATGCTTTTTCAACCACTCAGTATGTATTAATCTAGTTATTATTGTCTAATTCTTTATTTATTCACCTTTGTATATTATGAGACTTAAATATAAAAATTATTTAATAATTGACGATAATTTTTTTTACAAAAGGGATTCTAACGTTGTAAAAATTAAATTTAATTATGAAAACAAAATGACATTGTGGTCTTACCATTTACTTGTTTTCTTAAAACTTATTGGATTTAAGTTGCATTGAATCAACCAAATTAAATTGATATGGTGATGCAGATTTCGGTGTTAGTAGGGAAAGTGAAGTCAATAGTGATGACAGGCCACTCCATAGGCGGGACAGCAGCCTCTCTGTCTGCACTGTGGCTGCTCTGCCATCTCCACTCCACCATGTCATCTCCAATGCCGGTGCTATGCATCACATTCGGCTCTCCGATGCTCGGCAATGAAGCCCTCCATCGATCAATACTCCGCCAAAGATGGAGCGGAAACTTCTGCCATGTCGTCTCCAAGCACGACATCGTGCCGAGGGTCCTCTTCGCCGTAATCACGAGCCACGTACCCGTACTACAAGCCCTGCTGCCCAGGATCCAAACAGCAATATTTTTCAATGTGTTTTGAAGGACATGGAAATGTTGGTGCATACAAAAGATGTGTCAACTGAGACCCTGTTTTGGCCTTTCGGGAGCTATGTGTTTTGCAGCCAAGAGGGTGCCGTTTGTGTTGAAAATGCAGCATCTGTTATTCAAATGATGTATCTGATGATGGCAATGGGTTCACCAAGTTGTTGCATTGAGGATCATCTCAAGTATGGAGATTATGTAGGGAAAATTTCTAAGCAGTTCTTGAATGCCAAAAGCTTTCATGAAAATGGTGATGGCCTACCTGATTCTAGCTTTGAAGCTGGTGTGGCATTGGCATTGCAATCTTCAGATTTAACTGACAAGGTAATGTAAATTGCAAACCTTTAACACATTATAATTTAATTCCTAATCATTTTTACTATGAACGTACAGGGACCACTTCAAGTTCAAGACTGGAACCTAAGGGAAAATGTTGAGATTATGGCCAAGGAGTGCCTACAAATATGTAAAAACGATCACAACCCAAATCTTACTGCCGCCAACCTAGCAATAAGATTGTCCAAGATAGCGCCTTTCAGAGCTGAAATCGAGTGGTACAAAGCCTTCTGCGACGGAGCCGGTGATCAAATGGGTTACTACGATTCCTTCAAGCGCAAGGCAGGCTCAAGAAGAGAAGCCAGGGTCAACATGAACCGCCACAAGCTTGCTTTGTTCTGGAACAGCGTAATCCACATGCTGGAAAACAACGAGCTGCCACACAATTTCGACAGAAGGGATAAATGGGTATTCGCTTCGCTGTCCTACAAGCTCCTCGTGGAACCGCTCGACATCGCTGACTATTACCGGACCGGGATGCACCGCCAACTCGGGCATTACATCGAGAATGGAAGGGAGAGGAGGTACGAAATATTCGAGAAATGGTGGAGCGACAGAAGCGTTAAAAATGAAGAACACAAGAGGAGTAAACTTGCCAGCTTGACACAAGATTCGTGCTTTTGGGCAAGGGTGGAAGAGGCATGGGAATGGCTGGATAATGTGACTAGTGAGAGAGATGTGACCAAGATAAACCTGTTATGGAACAAGATCGATATGTTCGAGAAATATGCGAGGCAGTTAATTGATAACAAAGAGGTGTCTGAAGATGTGATGCTCAGGAATTCAAGCTTTAGTCGATGGATGGAAGAATGGAGAGAATTTAAGGCACAGGTTCTGGAATTCCCTCCACTTTATTCATGATCGTGGCTACTGTAAAATATGTAGACAACATTAAGTCACGAAAAGAGAGAGACAGCAGCAACTTTAATTCCAAATTGAAACAGAAATGGTTATACCCTCTGCAATTACCTTAAAATCATATGTGAAACTTCATAACGAATAATTCATATGGTCTATAATAGATCATTTATCTAGTATTAATTCAGACTTAAATTTATAATTTTTTTTATTCAATCTAATCACTAAACAATAAAAAATGTTTTCGATCTCTATCTTTATCTCTCTCACTTCTTAATAAGTAATTTTCAGTCCAAATCAAAAGGATTGAACTACAAATCATTTGTCTAACCACATTCTTTCTCAACTTATAAACCATCATCTCACTCACAAATCATTTGTTTAACCACATTTTCCCCATTTTATAAACTACCAATCAAGCTTCAACTTACTCGTAAATCAGCATTGATGCGATGACTATGGATTATTCTCTCGTCGGAAAGAATCAATTAAATAACAAAAAACTCAAACTATAACTATTCATAAACCCTAACCCAAGAAAAAAAACAATGTCCCAGCATTTTTTTTAATTTTTCATCTTTTTTCGATGTGTCATCGTCTCATTAGATGAATATAACTTAACAAAAATAAAATAATATTAACTTAACAACTAAAAAATAAAATATTTTTATTAGTATTCTTGGTTTTTGAGAAAGCAAAGTGCACCAAGATGCAAAAAAACCCTTGAGCCTTGGCGTAGGGGCACGCCTTTCGTATGCGAGGCGCACCGTTTGTTCTATATGATATAAATCAAAAATCAATACTTTGACAACACACCAATACTTTGTACGGCAAACATAACTACACAAACTTGAATTCTTAGAGAGAATAACAATTATTTTAATATTTAAAACTATTATTTTATTTATTTATAAATGATATAAATTAATTTTATTATCAACTTAAAATCTTCTATCTAATCTGATTTTCTCTTATTTTCTTAAAAGAAATCTGAAAAGCGCAAAGCTTCTATGCCCGGCACCTAAAACTCGTAGGCGTGTGCCTCCGACCGCCTCCCATAAACCGCTTCGCCCAACCCAGGCTGGAGCTACCTTCATTGCCCGGCTATGCCTCGCACCTATTAAAACCCATTTGGTATTGTGTGTCATATCATTGTTTCAAACACATGGTATGTATCACATTATCACTTATATACATGATAATATCATGTCAATATTTTGTATACATATAACGTGCCATGTTAGCAATAACCTCTGATTTTTAGTCAATTAATAACTTTTATTTAATCAAAATTATTTTAAAATATTAAAAGGCTAAATTTATGTAAAGATAAAAACTCAAATGGTTGTTTAGTTAAATATTAAAATAAAATTTGAAATTATGTCTATATTTAATACAGTCAACAGAGGAAAATGGAAATGGTGATATAATTGCTACTTTTAATTCACAGTTCCACATTTCCTTTTGAAGACTAAACAAAAATAAACAAGGAACAAAGTGAAGGTTAACAGCAAACACTACAATCTTGAAGGATGATTTATTTACAATCAATCATGTGTATGTTTTGAGTATACATTTGTTCCTCTCTAGGAATTTCCCAGAAAACTAACCCATACATAAAATTGGGAATCTTATGGGCTACAATGCAACCTATGTCAAGGTGGGGAAGCTAAATTAAACAACCTCTCTTCCAAGACCTGATCTAATCACTAGCAGAAAAGAAAAAATATCACATAAACGATAAACACACACCTCCATCGAGATGGCTAGGCGAAGCTCAATGAGTAGCTCCATCTTTTTTGCAAGTAAACCTCTATTTGGAAACTTCGTTCGTTGCTGCTTGCAGAAAGCGAATCGTCTTCCAAGTCTAGTAATGCAAGGTTGATATGGGATTCCATGTTACTAGGATAAAAATCGTCGTCAACAATATCAACTTCTTCTGATTCCCTAGCTTGTTTCTGAGCCCAATTTGTTACTTCCTGGTCACCTTGTACGAGCTTCAGGATCTGTGGTCGAAAAAAGATGCTGAGATCAGTATAAACATAACCAAAGTGAGCGAAAGGGGAAAAAAGGTCAATTGAGAGTGAGCTTACAAGGCTAATTTGAGGCAGCGTTAGTGGTGCACATCGAATGCACAGGGTAGCAGCTAAAACCATTCCTTCTATCTGATGAAATTCGTGGCTACCACCGAGCTGTGGATCTAGCAACTAAGAGAAATTGTTGTCCTTTAAAATTGGCTTTGCCTGGATGTTAACAACAGAGCATTACCAAATGTTAATAACTCAGAAAATAACTGGATTGAAGCAGTGCATTGCAACTTTTGACACTATGAATAAGGGATAAACAAAATGAATTTCACGCACGATCTACTTAGATGAACTTGTTTTTCTGAACTATAAAACATTGTTTATCGGCTCTAAATTTTGTTACAATTATCTCGTTTCATGAAGATGTGCAGAGCCATTCTCCTGATACCATGTTCAAATAAATAAGGCAGATAAACAAAGGCTTTTAGGTATGATGAAGTCACCCACATAACAAGGCTCTCCTGACCTTTTGGACGGTTATCGTCGATGGGGTTTTTACCAGAGAGGAGCTCTAGGAGGACGATGCCAAATGCGTAGACATCAATTTTATCACTAATTTTCCGCGCATGAGGTATTCAGGAGCCAAGTAACTGTCACAGACAAGTATTCCGACCATATCTAAAGTGACTAATATACAGGAAAAACTCAGAGTAGATTACATACCCAAAGGTTCCTGCAACATCCATGCTAGTCGTTTGAGATGCAGAACTTGAGACCCGACTAGCAAGTCCAAAATCTGACAGCTGAAGAAGTAGAACAGATAGTAATAAGCCCGGAAATGTTAAAACATTTTAGGTAGCATCAAATGTTAATATTTTCGGTAGAAAAAATAATGGTTTAGGTAACGTTTTACTAGAAATGTTAAAAAAATATATATTTTCGGTATGACATTTTTTTAACCGTATATTAAGACTACTGTAAAGCATAACTACCCTTTTGTTAACGGTATAGGATTAGCTTTTGATTGCTTATCCCCCTATCTAGTGTGCTTTTATATTTCTTTTCGCTTAATTTAGTTTATTTCTTTCATAATCGAATATTAAAATTAATAATTCATGATATGATGCCTTTACACTCAAACACAGTGCACAAAGCGTGGCTTTCGTTTATTCATTGCCCACTACGTACACAAATAACTGTTTGTGGGGAAAAGAAAATATTCTTGTGCCTCTTTGAACTATCAAATATACTCACCGGATCATTTAATTACATGTTTCTTTTAAAATCATATTTATTTCTTTTTATAAATTTTAAAGAGAAACAAGATACTTTCAGTAAACTTAAAATTCATGAATTAAAAATAATATCCGAAAACAAAGATGTATAATTTGGTCAGTCGTAGACATTTTAAAAGTATAAATATCAAGGGTTTGCTCCAGGTTTTTTGGTTTTCCTCACGTGCATGTTAGGATTTGCTAGTGTTGCATGACATCTCCTATACAGCCGGCGGTCCCAACCGACGACTCGGTTGTCCCTCCTCCTTTTGAGGGATCACCTCCACCGCCCGTCATGGACGGCCATCCAGGTTTCACATCGAAAAAAGAAGTCGGTATCAGTTTGGAGAAGGTGCATGTTATGGATGAAGATAGAACTCCACCTTTGACGGAGGTTCCTCTTGCGGAGCCACCAATGTACCAACCAGGTCTTACGCGGCTACAGTTATAGGACACGGAGGTGAGGCCGAGGTAGCGTATTCATTCTTTATGGAAGCCTTAAACGTAGCTTGAATTGGCGGATATGGATAATGGTTAGTTGGTTACAACTTGGTTTGATTTGCGAGGGGAGATGATTACATGAAAATTCTAACGGAGGGTCCTTGGATGGTGTTTGATAGTTATCTTACTATCCAACCCTGGAGTCGTTCCTTCTCTACGACGGATTATCATCCATCCCACGTCATAGTTTTGGTTCGTCTTCTTGGTTTACCGTAGGTACTATTCTAAGTCCTTATTTCGTCTCCTTATGGCTGAACTTGGTACTGTTATTAAGATAGACTATAATACAACGATGGGTGAGCGGTGTAGGTTTACGCGTTTAGCGATACTGGTTGACTTGAAGAAGTCGCTACTTCCACGTATTGGCATTGATGGCTTTGTCCAAAAGTTGGACTACGAAGGGCTCCGAAATATTTGTTTCAATTGCAGAGCTTTCGGACATGTGCAGGGTTCATATAATCAGGAGCAAGACGAAGTGCCTATGAAGGAATCGACTATTTCCGTTATTGATACCCCTAAACCTAAGGAAATAATAACGGTTCGACGGAGCATAGAAAGGTTTTATATGGACCATGGATGATGGCAGCTAACCGAAAACGTAGACCAAAAGGCAAGACGCTGCAATATCAACCAGACACGTCAGGTGGTGGTAGGGGTAACAATTATCGGTTTAATATTCTAGAGATCAGGTACTGACTTAGAGGCTAAGGTTACTCGGGAAGAAGTAACTATGGAGAATCCGAGAGCTAGTTCAAGAAAGGTGACAACACAAGACCATTCTCCCCATTTCCAAAATTACAAAGCAAATGGGAAACAATATCTGACGACAGCGGAACAGAGGGGAGAATGGAAACAACACAAGACCAGATTTGTCAAGTCAAAGACATCGTTGTTATCTTCTTCTTCAGCTAAAACATATGCATCTGAAGATTACTATTATGCATCTCATACTAGTTTTAATTTTTATACTGCATATTACACTTCAACCGAGACTTAGCCGACTTGGGTTGAACCTTTATGGGATGCAATGCAACACACTCAAACATCTTCTACAGAACATGCGGGTGAAGGTTAATGGGATCATATCATATATAATCAGGAGCAAGACGAAGTGCCTATGAAGGAATCGACTATTTCCGTTATTGATACCCTTAAACCTAAGGAAATAATAACGGTTCGACGGAGCATAGAAAGGTTTTATATGGACCATGGATGATGGCAGCTAACCGAAAACGTAGACCAAAAGGCAAGACGCTGCAATATCAACCAGACACGTCGGGTGGTGGTACGGGTAACAATTATCGGTTTAATATTCTAGAGATCAGGTACTGACTTGGAGGCTAAGATTACTCGGGAAGAAGTAACTATGGAGAATCCGAGAGCTAGTTCAAGAAAGGTGACAACACAAGACCATTCTCCCCATTTCCAAAATTACAAAACAAATGGGAAACCATATCTGACGACAGCGGAACAAAGGGGAGAATGGAAACAACACAAGACCAGATTTGTCAGGTCAAAGACATCATCGTTATCTTCTTCTTCAGCTACAACATCTGCATCTGAAGATTACTATTATGCATCTCATACTAGTTTTAATTTTTATACTGCATATTACACTTCAACCGAGACTTAGCCGACTTGGGTTGAACCTTTATGGGATGCAATGCAACACACTCAAACATCTTCTACAGAACATGCGGGTGAAGGTGAATGGGATCATATCATATATAGTCAACAAGGTAGCCACCTCAATTCAGTAATGATGATGATGGCGTCAAATACCATAAGCTCATCATCGTATTTCGAAGTTGGATCTTAGAGTATGTTAAGTACATCTCCTTTTGAACAACCAAACCCAAATGAAGACGACGACGACCCCAACGTACTCGACGAGCCCCACACCATTATTATTCGACCACTCATCGACATCGTTAAGAAATTAAAAAATACAAATAAATTTTATTATATACATAATAGTTGGTAAACATTGTTTTTTTTAATAAAATTATTAATTTACTTTTCTAATTAATTTTTTTTCATTTTAATCCGATGCAACTCGTCACCTCGAGAGGACAAGTTGCATTTTTTTCAGTTTTAAAATTAAAATTATTTTTACAATTTAAAAAATATTTTTAAAATTGACTCGTCATCTCAATGTGTCGAGTTCCTTTAATTTCAATAATTTAAGGATAAAATATATAAATAATCCCCAAACTTTTAAGACGCTTGTACTTTGGTCACCCAACTTTTGAAAATACAATACATTTATCGAACTTTTAGTTCGTTTTTATTTTGGTCTCTGTCTTTACCTCCCATTAGTTTTTGCTAAGGTGACATTTAACCCGTTAACTCCCCCCTTCTCCATGCACGAGTTGTCTCAGTTCTGCCTATGATAAACAAACTCCACAATCAACCACAAGCAATATCAGTAGCTTAATGGTCTCAGTTCGACCTATGATAAGCTCTACACAATTGACATGGATGGCTGCTTCTTCACCTTTCATATGCCGTTGTACATGAGCAAAGTAGAACTCTTCTTCGGCTTCTCAGGAAGTTCGGCAATACCTAGTTCATTTAACAAGATGCAAAACTAGTAGACTCTTACTAAAAGTTGGTTCCACTCCAATCTTCTAATCTACTTGACTGATTGGTCCAAATTTGCAAATGTTTACAAAAATAATCATGTCTAAATTAGACTCCATTTGACTGTACCAACTAGAACAAAAAATTGAGGTAATAGAAATCCTTAATCAAGTAATCAATACTATGATTAAACACAAATTTCGGAATTTCTTAAGCTTAATTGAAGTGAAAAAACTCGAAAGCTCCTCAAATATTTATTTCAACGGTAAATGCAATGGGGAAAATCAATTGCAATAATTTTATCAAAAACTTGAATAGATTTCATACCTTTCTTTGTGCGGAGGCTTTGATTGCAATAAGCTTGAGAAAATTGAAAGTGGGTGTAGACCCATTTACTGAGTCGACTCGCGGAGAACCCGGTGGAGTCAATTCATTGCTGGGATTGGATCGAGGATAAGAAAAATGAGATGGGTTATTAACTAAAAATGAGATGGGTTATTATCTGCCTTGCATGAAACCGAAATGATTCGCTTGAGTTGTGGTCAAGTGAGTGAAGGAACAAAACAGCGTTCCGGAGAGTCGAATCTACCGAGTCGATAGAGAAAAGGAGAGGGCTTTCGAGAGATCTCCAAAGGGGTTAGACCCTTCAAAACTTCTTCCCATCCCATGTCTCCTCTCTTCTCAACCTTAGTTCCTCCACTTAATTAACCTCGGACTCTGCTTTGTGCTGCTGTTCTTGTCGTTTCGATTTCTTTGTGTTGTCGCCCTGATTTTCTTTGTCGCTATTGTCTTTGAATTTTTTTTTAGCTCAGATCAAATTGATATAAAGGTAAGCGTTAAATAAATATTAATTTATCATTATATCAATCAAAATTAAATAAAATTAATAAAATCATTAAAAAATGATTAATTATCCCATCAAGAGTTGCTTATAAAAGGAGTCCAAATAAAATTAAATTAAATGTCTAAGGTACAGTACACGGTTTACAAGACCAAGTAATAAAAAAAACATCAAAAAGTCCCTATTTTAAACATGATACAAGCCAAGCCTAATCGATGTTTAAACGTGCCGGCAAACATCATCCATTGGAGCGTAGAATATGACCTAAGCAATGGCATATTTGATTGTTTCCACCTCTTTAGGCCGCCACATGGATTTCTGGACACACAGCAGGCCTTCCTTGTCCTTCGAGTATGTCATGCGCACTTCCCACTGCATAGACTTCAACATATTCTCAAGCTCGTTGACGATCTCAACGTTGTCTCGAACAATAAGCTTTCCTTCAGGTCTTAGTATCCTATCAACCTCTGCAACAACGGCCACTAAGTTGCACCTGCATGTCATAAGCGCAAGGTCAGGCCGAAGCAGACAATGGATATATCATATTACGGAAAATGTATTTTGGGACAATGCTTAGACCAGAAACAGGGATTCAATACTAATCCTTACATGATACAAAAGGTTGATGGAATGTATAGCATTAATGAATTGATTATTCAAAAGGAAAAAAATAACAATCCTATACACACACGCATAGTCTAAGAAATATCCCAGGATTCAACAACAAAAATAAGCAAGAAAAGTAGTAAAATCTATACATTTACCTAGCGAAGGAAAAGTGTAAAGAATGGAAGTCTGGGAAAAGAAATATATCGATACAAACCTCTTTTTAACCTTCGAGAATAGATGGTCTGCATGGAGAAGATCGTAAGATCTCGGATAGGTGCTAAACGATTCACACCAATCATGATACATGCCAAATAGACCTCTTTCATAAATTATAGGAAGTGTATCAGGTGAGTCAATTGGGACCACATTCATGACCCATAAATCCATATCTTTGAGTGCAGCAGCAAAGCTGTAAGCATATGACAGTCAGAATTAACGAAGAGAAAATGAATCAATAAAACAGAAAGAACTGTCAAACCAATATAATCCTTCCTACTTCATAAAAATGTGTATATATAATTTTGCATACCCTCCATAAACAGCATTCATGTCCATGACGTTTCTGACAGATGACCAGCTTATTCCCATCCCATTTATGTATGACTTGGTTACCACCCGTTTCCAGTGTTCATTGTCTGCTGTAAAATCCTCTTGTGCTGCTTTTCCATAAACTCCAACTTGGGAAGAACTCAACCAATATGGTGATTTTTCCAACCTTTCTGGCCATGGCTCAGGCCAATGAGACCCACGTTCTGCTGAATCT